ACCCCGATGGCATAGATGTCTGATGGGGGAGGAAGTCACCAGAATCTGTGGCTGGGCCATCGCGAGGGAGGAGGCTGTGTTTAGGGCTCACTGTGCCTGCAAAGCCCTGCATGGCCCCTCCACCCCGCCCTGTCTGACTGCATTTCCTCCCTCGGCTCGCCCTCCAGCCCATCCAGCCCCACGGCCTCCGTCCCACCGCAGGCCTCTGCATAGGCGCCTCCGCCTGGCCCACTCCCCCCAGATTTCCCACTTGGCTCACTTCCTTACCTTTTTAAGTCTTGACTCAAGCATCACTACCCAGCCGTCCTTCCCGCCTTGTGTCTGTGCCCCGCACTCCGTGCCCTGCCTCCCCTGCACCTTAGCCCCTGTCACCAGCTACCGTGCCCTGGGGATTCCTTATCTCCCTTGTTTAATGCCCACTGTGGGTAACACTGTGTCCCCCAAAAGGGTATGTTCAAGTCCTAACTCCCAGGACTTGAGTGCGACCTCGTCAGGAAGTAGGGTCTTACGGATGTGATCTAGTGAAGATGAGGTCGAGCTGGACTAGAGCGGCCCTGACCTGACGCTGGGTCCTTGTAGGAGAGCGAAGGGATGTGAAGACAGAGCAGAGACCGGGTACCCGCCTCAGCCAGGGCCCTGGGCCCCCAGCAGCCGGTGGAGGCGAGGAAGGACCCTCCTGGCCGCGCACACCTTGCATTTGGACTTCTAGGCTCTTCAACACGGGAGACTGAATTTCTGTTTTTTAAGCCCCTCAGGTTTGTATACTGTGCTGCACCAGTCCTGGCAACTAACACGTTGTCTCCTAGAATGCTGCCCGCGCCGCTTGTGTCTGCTTCGCCCTTAGAACAGCGCCTAGTCCTGGCGGCTCTGGGCTCTCGCAGTCCTGGTACACAACTAGGTAAACACGGGCGTGGACGTCGCCTGGAGGCGAAGCACGGACCTGGCCTCCTCCACCCCGAGGCTGTGGGCCGGGCCTGGAGCCCTCCCTTCCCGAGAACCGAGAACCGGCTGGAACCGCCGCCCCCTCCCCCCACGCTCCGCACTCTGCCCTCCTGGCCCCCTTCTGCTCCCAGAGGGCGGGGCAGCGTGTGGGAGGGATGCTCAGACCCGGAGGGTCCCCCCAGGCAGCACCTGCTCTCAGCCCCGCTCAGGCCCCAGAGTTCTCTGTTTCCCTTCAGCTCCTGCCTGTTCAGTGAGGTGGTTTGGAGCATTTCACCCTGGCCCAGTGGTGCTAAGGCCTGAGGGCATGGGGTTTGGGCTCTGCCTTCCCTGGGCCAGAGTTTTAAAGAGGAATCTGCTCTCCACGGAGGGCCAGGTCGGGGCGAGGCACACGGACAGGGAGGGGGGCGTTGGGCGCTCAACGCCTTCCCTTATCTGGCGCGCTTCTCTCGGAATTCTTTTCTGGTCAAAGGCCAGTGCAATTTGTATTCCGCCTGAACCTGAGGAGTTGTCCGTTAGCACCTGCAGCTGCCAAGGCTTCCCTGGCTTATCTGCACTGCTCCCAGGGACGCCAGGGACAGTCCCCAGCAGGCCCGCCTCTTCCTCCTGGAGAGGCTCCTGCAGCTGTAGAGCGTGGGAAAGCAGGGGGAGGAGGAAGATGGCGACCCCAACACACTGTTTCTCTGTGTCCGAGCATTCGCCCCTGTCGGCCTAGAGGTCCCCTCTGCAAGTGAAGAAACTGCCCCCAGCCACAGCTAACCCAGATGACACCAGGCTCGCTCGGCCACCTTCACACGGAATACACAGAGCGGGGGCGGGGGCGGGGGCGGGGGCGGGGCGCCTCCATAGAAAGATGCTGGGACCCAGGCTGTGGGCCTCGCACCCCTGGGGGGCGGTACAGCTGGGGACAGGGGTGGGGGCTCACCCAGGTAGTCGCTCCTCCTCTGGTTGATGTTCAAGACCTCTTTGATATTGTCAACAGCTGGCTTGGGAGAGCCCCCGATATTGGACTTTCCTGGACAGGGAGGGAAAGAATTGTTCGCCTGGTGGATCTATCAGGACCCCCGCGCCCAGGAGGAGCTGGGACCCGCAGCACCTGCACTTCTACCGAGTTTTACTGAAAGTCTGTGTCGCAGGCACTGGGCCACCAGCTTCGTTTACTTTATTTCATTTAATTCTCAGGAAGCCCCAGGAGGTGTGGGTACCCTCGTCGCATAGACAAGACCACACTCCTGATGGGTGGCATAATGTGGGCAAAATCAAGCTCCAGGACAGAGCCCAGATCCACGGCAGAGTCGCCGTCCGAGGCGCCGGGACCTCACGGTCCGGAGTGGTGACCTCCAGGTAGTGACAATAACCAGCATTATAATCACAAAGCACCTTTACGCAAACGACTTAATTTCTGTCCACAAAAATTGTGTAAGGAACGGAAGGCAGCTAATGTTTCCATCACTGTTGTCCTCGCCATCACTGTTGTCACTATTTCTACTTGATAAGTAAGAAACAGGCCAAGTGGCCCAGGGGGAATCAGTATGCAGGTCTTCTGACCCCTCCATGATGCTGCTGCTACTGTGCCAGAGACGATGACCCCCACAGAGACGACGACCCCCACAGAGACGATGGCACCCACCGTCTGTGAGAAGGATGATGGCGTGCCGGATTTCCTTCCAGGCCGAGGTGCTCATGCCCAGGCGTTGCATTTGGTTATTCATCATGATGTAAACACTGTGTAGTGCCTTATAGATGTTGGTCCCGGTTCCATTTTCATGGTCTGCAACATGCAAAGAGGAGGGGAGTAGAAAATCACCCTATTTCCCTAACAGCTGGAGATAAATTATCCGCTGGTTTGAGAAGCCCAGACCGTGGGTCCCAGGTGGGGATCTGGCACGTTGCCTGCTCAGGCGTTAAGAGCCATTCCCCTTAGAAGGCCTCATTGCATGACCTCAACCCAAGGTCACACTAACGTCCCCGGATGCAAAGATGGGGTTTCCAGACGCAAACTTGGGTGTTGTTAGCGTCTGCAGCCTGTCCTGCGGGAGTTTACCACGACCTGGGAGACGAGCACTGAGCCACGAAAGCCAGGCGTGTGGCTCTGGCATCGGGAGGACCAGGCCTGCGCGACGCCCTGGCTGTGCAGCACATTGGAGGAAGGCGGGGGCTGGCGGGGCGGGGGGCCCCCACCTGAGCCTGAGGAGCCAGAGCCCCGGAGCCCTGAGCCTTGGTTGCCGCCAAGAGACCCCCTCTCTCTAACTTGTCCAGATGGGTCGGCTGCGGACCCACCCCCCGCTCCCACCTTCATCGGACGACACCACACCTCTATAGTTGATGTTTTCCAGACGGTAGATCACTTCAGTCCCGTCACGGGAATTGTCATCCAGGACAGACATGATGATTTTGGGCTTTGACGCAAAGGTGATGATGGCGACACTCACATTGATCTCAAAGCTGAAGATCTGTGCAGGGGAGGGAGAGGCAGGAGGCAGCCGATCAATGATTCTCTCTCATCATTGATGTCTCTCTCCCTCTCCCTTCCGCTCCGACATCAACCAAAATCATGCGGGGGAAGACACTGCTGCTTGCAAGAGCTCCGGAAACCGGTGTTTGCTGACCATCTGCTCCCGTTGATGGGCTCGCTCCTCTTTAATCTTTTTTTAATTGATTTTAGAGACAGAGGGGAGGGGGGAGATTGACGTGTGTCCCACCCATTGCTACACCCATCGGCTCCTCCCGTCTGCGCCTGGAGACCAGCCTGCAACCTTGGTATTGGGATGATGCGCCAACCAACTGAGCGACTGGCCTCATTTAATTTTCACAGAAACTCTGTGAGGGGCAGGAGGCCCCTCCTTTACACAGGAGGAAACTGAGGCTTTGGCCTTCCCCCAGCTCACGCCACTGGTAAGAGGTCGAGGGAGGATTTGAACCTGCTGGTGCAACCGTGAGGCACCCAATGGCCGTATTTGCAGCCTCGTGGCTCAGTAAGTGACCTAAGTTTAGGTCCTAAGAGAGACGCTGAGGAACACAGAACCTCTTTCTCTAAAATGTAGCTGGAGGAGAGGCCACATCTACATCAACTACTGTGAGAAGCACAGACACCAAGCAAGTGTGGGCAATGACTAAACCACGGCTTCCAAACGCTCCTGTGTGTGCATCTCGTCAGCAGGGACTCGGGGCACAGCACCCATAAAGGTATATGTGCTTGTAAACTGCACTCCTACTCATAACGTGTATCACTGTAAACACGCAAAATATTGAAATGTTTTCAAATTATTAAATATCAAGCTATTGATTTAAATTAAATTGTTCAGCAGGGATACCTGGATTTTTCTGCCGCACCCAGTGGGTTATCTGTGCACCCCTCTGGGGAGACCCCTGTTCTAGAAGACGAATTCCTGGAAATGGGGACCCCGGGTTGGTCATCATTGGTGTCCCCCAGCACAGCACCCAGCACCCACCATGGTGCCGGACACATAGGTGTTTGTGGAAAAAACGTGACCCTATAAATTGAACCCATGATTCCTCATGGAATGGGGAAGCCTCCTTGAAGGAGCTGGGCTGTGAGGGGGTCTGAGCAAGGGACGCTCCGCACGGCGCCTGGTCCCTGACCCTGTCCACCATGAGGATGGCGCTCTCCTTGAAGATCCTGAAGTCTTCCTCCTTCACGCTCTGAGAGGCGTCCAGGAGCAGGTAGAGGTTCAGGTGACCAGATCGCTGGATTTGGATTTTTCGGCCCACGCTTTCTGGGAGAAATATGGAGGGGGAACTCGTGTCTTCCCCCACCCTGCTCTCTTGCCAAGGCCTCCCCTGCAGTCAGCTCAGCCCTGCTGCGCCCAGAGGAGGCCGAGCCCCGAGCAGTCTGCCCAGCCGCCTGCTGTCCGCCACCAGCACTCACCCTTCTTCTTCTGGGTGGGATTGGTGGATCCAAGCAGGTGGGACAAGGAGGTGCCCAGCGCAGGGGCCACGTCCTCAGGAAAGTCGTACGAGTAGGGCTCTGTGGGAAGAGCCGCCGGGGTCGGCGTGGGCCGGTGCCAAGAGTCTGGGGATGGGCAGGGCAGCTACTCACGGCGGCAGATGGGCTCGGTCCCGCTCCAGACCCCGCTGTCCTGGCACTCCCGCTCTGCCGACCCCGTCAGCACCAGATTCGAGGAGCAGCGGTAGTTGACCTTGTCCCCAAGGCCAAATCGGGACCCCGTCCGCACCGAGCCCACGGGGATGCCTGGGCTGGGGCAGTGGCCGGCTGCGAGGGAGCAGAGGGAGATGGAGTCAGCAGAGACCCTCCTGCGTGGCCCTGGCCCTGCTCACTGCCGTCCCTCCCGCGCCCGGCTCCAGGCCCCAGAGCCTCTTGGGGCGGCCGTGGTCTCCCGGTGGGTGTGGATGGGGAGCCTTCAGGAGGGCCAGACGCCCCAGCTCCGTGGCCTCCCAGTCCCACCCGGGACTCGGGCTGCATCCACCCCAGAACCCGGGGCAGGTGCCAGCAGAGAAGCCCATCTCCAGGGGGGACACTGCTCTTCCTACGCCACGTGAGTCAGCCCTAAAGAGGTGGGCACCTCCAGGCGGCGGCGCTGGGTGTGGTGGAGCTCCTGCCAGCCTCCCTAGCCTGCCCCGCGCGGGGACGCTCATTCCACCCCAGACCACACGCTCCAGAGAAACAAGGGCACGAACGCCAGGCACAAGAACGTTCGCGGAGCTGCACTCGTGGCCGCCAACTGGACGTGACCTGAGGCCCAGCTACAGGATCAGGTGTGGCCTCTCACAGGCCCGTGCAAGGGGCTCCACGGCAGCGAAGAGCAGACTGCGGTGCACAGACTGCGCACGCCCAGGCGATGCTGGAAAGGGCCGCCAGGTGCGCAGAGCAGCCTGTGACGCCTCCTCCCGGCCGAGCTGGAGCTAGCCTAACCCTGGGAGCCCAGCGAAGATGGTCCGGCGCGGGAGGGCGGGCCTCCTGGGATGCGCGCGTGTCCTCTCCGGTGGCGGTTACGTGGGTGGACAAGTGCGTAAAAATTCATCAAGCTAAAAACTTAAGATCTGTACACTTTACTGTAGGTAGATTTTGCCTTCATTTTCAAATAGATTATACTTATGTTTGAATGAATGGCTACTTGGCAGAGTCAAGCCGCATGCGCCGGAGCTGACAGCGGGGCCGCTGGGGAGGGCACGGTCCTGCCGTCTCATGGACTGTCTCCTGGACTCTGTGCCCAGAACTCTGGTCCAGGAAGCTCCCAAACCCACAGGCAAGTGTGGCTCCGGGACGCCCGGGAGCCCCACTCTGTCGAGCAGAGCCCTCTGCGTGCTCTGGGACGGTAATAGCCTGACGTGACGCAGTGTACGAGGCACGTACCAGAACCCGAGGCTGTTCTAGACGTGTACTAACGTCAACTCACTCCATCCACACAACAACCCCATTTATCCTCTGTTTTCACCTGTGAAACGAGGACAGCCAGCACCCTTACAAAACCCATTTTACAGATGGGAAAACTGAGGCATAGAGAGGATACATAACCTGCCCCAAGTCTGTCAAGGTCAAAGCCAAGCTTGGAACCCAACCGGGTTCCAGAGGCAAGGCACGTCCGCACGACGCTCTCAGCCTGTCCTCTGTCCTCAGGCCCATGGGGTCTGACTACCAAGCAGGCTTGAGGCTTCCGGAAAAGCCGGACAGTGTGCGGGGCCTTTATGTCGGAGCTGAAGCTTGGAGCCAGCTGCCTTGGCCCCCTCCAGGCCGGTGATGTGGGGCCTGCCGGTCTCAACTGACCAAAATCCAGGAATATTACTTTGACCCTCGGCACGCCCGGCCCCCGGCCCTCAGCGGCTCCCTGGCCACAGTCTGTCTCCAGGGCTCCTGGAGGTCCCCAGCCCCGCGCAGCCGTCAGCCAGGCCACTCACCGCCATTGTCACACATGGCCGTCTCCCCGTCCCACATGCCGTTGGGGCGACACTGCCGCACGGGCGAGCCCCGCAGCACGAAGCCGTCCTCACACTGGAAGCTCAGGTTGCCGCCCACGGGGTGGGACCCCAGCCGCGGGGTGTACATGCCATTCTCGAAGGCCACCGGGGCGGGACAGCGAACAGCTGCAGAGAGAGGGGGGGCTGGGGGTGGACCGGGAGCCCCTGGGCCGGCACCACGGGGGTGGCGTTCGCCCGAGGCGTGGGGACAGCCCCTGGCTGCCTGCAGATTAGGTTGATGCCTGTGCAATTGCTGCTGCTGGCAGCTGGGTGAACACTGGCGGTCTCACACCGTTCAACCCGAAACACCTCCCCCCGCCCCGGGGTCCTCGCCTCCCAGGAGCGGGCAGTACCATGCGGCCAACTGTTAAGTATTTTGGGAAGCATCCCTGGCCTGTAGCCCCCCACAATCTCCATCAAAGCCTGCCTCGCCCCAACTGGTTTGGCTCAGTGGCTAGAGCGTTGGCCTATGGACTGAAGGGTCCCGGGGTTCGATTCTGGTCAGAGCACATGCCCAGGTTGCAGGCTTGATCCCCAGTAAGGGGCGTGCAGGAGGCAACGGATCAATGATTCTCTCTCATCATTGATGTTTCTATCTCTCTCTCCCTCTCCCTTCTTCTCTGAAATCAATAAAAAAATACTTTTTTTAAAAAAAAAAATCTTGTTTAAAGCGTGCCTCCAATACCCTGCTATGGGGAGTGACGTTCTCCCGCTATTTTGCACAGCCCTGTGGAAAGGCTTCGCCCCCCCCTCCCACGCGGCCCAGGCAGGCTAAGACCCACGCGCAGCAAATCCTAAATAGAGGTTCCGCGCGCGCAGGGCACCCTGGGCGAGCTCGGGGAGCCTCACGTTTGCAGACCGCCTTTGCCACCGGGCTGGATCTCGGGGTCTGCCAGCGTCCGCTGCTCAGGCACAGCCTGGATGTGGGGACTGGGTACCGGCCCAGGGGGCAGGAGTACACGAGGACACTCCCAGGGGCCCAGCCGTGGCTGAGGGTGAAATTGCCCCCGGAGATTTCCACGTTCTGAGGGCAGGAGGGTGCAGCTGCAGCCAAGCCTGTGGGAAGGGGACAAGACACAGAAATGGAGAAAAGAGGAAGGCACGGTAAGCCCTGGGCAGAAAGGAAAGCAAAAGAGACTGTTTCCAGCGCAGACCACCACCGGGTGGCGGTGGCCTCCCCCAAGGACCCTCCCGCCCCGCCCCCACCGCACCCCACCCCGCTCCCTGGCTCCCTGGCTCCTACCCGGGTACAGGGGCAGCAGACAGAGCAGAGCCCTGAGTGAGCCCATGGTGTCCACCTCCGGCAGCAGAGCAGTGAGCCGGAGAGGGGAAAGGTCAGCTGACTTCCCGAAAACCAGCCTTGGCTCAGCAGCTGCTTCTTTCGCTGCCAGAGGAGAAAACTAGGGAGTGGCAAGGGGGGT